GTGGTGTTTTACTTATTCGGGGCTTCTTTCCTTTCTATATAAAGTTAATGATTAGTTTCTCCGTCTTTTTGAAGAATGTCGTTGGTATTTGGATCGGGATTGCATTGTATTTGTAACTTGCTTTGGGTAGAATTGTCATTTTCACAATGTTGAGTCTGCCTATCCATGAGCATGTATGTTTTTCCATTCATGTAGATCTCTTTGGGTTTCTTGCAGTAGTGTTTTGTCATTGTCTTTGTATAGGTCTTTTACATCCCTGGTTAGATTTATTCCTAAGTATTTTATTTTTTTAGGGGCTTTTATAAATGGTATTGTTTTCCTGATTTCCTTTTCATCATTCTCTTTATTGGTGCATAGGAATCCAATTAATTTTTGTATGTTTATCTTGTGTCCTGCCACTCTACTGACTCTTTCTATTAGTTCCAGTAGTTTTCTCGTGGAGTCTTTAGGGTTTTCTATGTGTAGTATCATATCATCCTCAAATAGAGACAGTTTAACTTCTTCATTACCAGTATGGATGCCCTTTATTTCTTTTTCTTGCCTTATTGCTCTAGCTAGGACTTCCAGCACAGTGTTGAATAGGAGTGGTGATAAAGGGCATCCTTCTCTTGTTCCTGTTCTCAAGGGGAATATTTTCAGCCTGTCTCTATTAAGTATGATGTTGGCTGTTGGTTTTGCATAGATGTTCTTTATTATGTTGAGAAATTTCCCTTGTATACCTATTTTATTGAGAGTTTTTATCAGGAATGAGGTGTTGGACTTTTTCAAATGCCTTTTCTGTGTCGATTGAGATGGGAATCATACACTTTAAATGGATGAGTTATATGGTCTGTGAATTTTATCTCAATAAAGCTATTAAGTATACACACTAAGTCTTAAGAGAAAATAAAGTGAATTTTTTTTCTTTTTTTTTTCACACAATGTATTGGGAACTTTGTTGCCTTTGGAAAACAAAGTGTACTGAGATAATATGGAAAACACTTTTGACTTAATGTACTTGAATAGGAGAAACTTTACATTTTTTTCTCATTCACAGAATGTATTGGAAACATTCCTATGCTTGTAACACAAACTATTTTTTGATATCAGGTAAAAGTCTTTTGACTAAGTGAATTCTTACTGGTCCATTATCATGAGCAGCTGACCTGTAATACTCAGGTATTTATTAGAATTCATAACTTGCGTTTCCAGATATGAGTCAGTTACTAACTGTATTGGAATATCGCTTGTTCATTCTAAAGATGATGATGAAATCCAAAGAGAAATGTCAGTACATTGGGAATATTTTAAGCATTTTCCACATTATGGTATGACATATCTCTGTTGGATATCTTAGTTTAGAAATAAATTGCTGTTTTCTTCATCTACTACTTGGCTGCTTATGTTGCCCAAGTGGGAGCTGAAGGTGAGACTTCTCATTAAGGAGTTCTTGACTGGAACCTTTTCTCCCTAGGGGTCTAAGTATCAGAATGCTAAGGAGGAGATGGGCTCATTTTTAGCTATGAAGTCATAGGGATTTAAGTAGGCTCGTATTTGGGTAAACGAAGTGAGTTTTTCTCCCACTTAGTTTTGTTTCTTTCAGAATTCATCAATTCACTTAGCTATAACAGTATATCCTAGGCAAATCTTTATTTAATGTCCTTAGTGACATATGTTTCTTGTATATTTTTCTATCCTGTTTCTCTTACAGCTAAGGAAGGCATGACTAAGAAATGCAGCCTTTGTTCCATTTAGGCTGGTGCTTCCTATTAGTCCCGTATGAGTTTCTGGAATGGAAAAAGAATTATGAGGGATCTGGAACAACTTTCTGATTCCTCTTGAGTCAAGTTCTCACGGTGACTTCAGTCTGTTTTTTGAAATATTGTAAATTCTTAGCCAGATCATTCCTCAAACTCATGTTTAAAGACAAATACTACAGCATATCCTAAAACCAAATTTAGATAAATTTTAAATTGGCTGTCATTTTAGATGATTTCACATCACTGCTCACCTCTCATCACAAGTAATTCTTTCAAACTTGTCAAAGGGACTAAAAGCTCTAACTCAATGGATGTTCCAGAAATAAATGACAAGTTTTTGAAATTTCCTAGGGAGGCAGTTATTATGTATCTTGAAATCCTAGCAAGAGCATGCCTCACTACAGAGAGCAGGGATTCTAATGAAGGTGAAAACCACCTGTATCCTGTTAACTAGCCCCACCCTCATTAGTATTCTTTTCCTTCCTGAGGCTGCACTGTAAGACCACCATATGGTGTGATCTTCAGAAAGGACAGGCGATCTGGTGTGTTTTGTAACCCAACCTTCTAAGACCCTTTGCTTTATGAGACTGTGGAGTCCTGCATGTGACATTGGACCAATGCCCAGATTTGCTATCCCTTTGGTTTTCGGTGATTGATGTTCTTATAAATTCCTTAGGGCGTTTAATACTTTTATTTAAACTGTTCAATATGACGATAAGAAGTACGACCCTTGGCAGGAATTAATTGTGTATTTGAGGGCAGCCAGTTAATGAACACCAAACAACTTCAAAGAGCAGGCAAGAAAAAATCTTGCAAGGAAAATGTATTTCTCTTCATCTATTCCCTGAGTTACTGGACCAGGGAGTCCAATTCCAAAATTGCCATTAGTTTGGGTATTATGGATTAGGTTATTGGAGAAGTTGATTATGATGCCAAATGTAACAGGGCATTCTCTCTCACTCCTTGTCCTAAGCCTGTCACCCTACAGCCTTGTAGCACTATGAAGTATACAACCACGCCATGCAACTCCAGCCAGTAGGCGTTTGTGGCAATAATAGGAGGATAAAGTTGATAGAAGTCTCATCTGTATTTGTTTTCTCTCTCCCATCTCCTGCATCCTTACTAGGCAAAGGTGGAAGAAAAGATCCAAGAGGTCTTCAGTTCTTACAAGTTCAACCACCTTGTACCAAGGTAAGCTGTGGATTGGAGTTTGAGGGGTCACGTGATTCGTCATGAGTCAGAGTCAACTCAGCGGCCACTGGTTACTGATGGGGAGAGCACCACCTCCTGTGAGAGGTTCTTTCCTTCTTGAGCTTATCCAGCCATAAGCTGTGAGACTGCTCCCTGGATATGCTGTGATTCAGATGCCTTCCTCTGTTAGAATACTGTTCAGAGGAGATTCTCCACTTGAACTGAGCAATCAGATGCTACACCAGGATGCTCTTGGCCTGAACTCTGAGGGCTGAAGATGGGGCAAGGAAGGAAGAAAGTTCATGGTTTTGTTGCTTAATTGTGGCTGGCTGTTCTGGTGTTCAGATGCAGAACTCTCATGCTTTTCTTTTTCTCATTGTGCTTTTGAAATAGAGTCCTGGGGTATGACAAAGTATTGGATTCCTTTGACATCAGTTATTATTTGACTGGGAAAATGTGAGAAGTTTAAGCTTCTACCAGCAACATGGTCCTTGTTGGTGAAAGTGTAGAAGATCCCAAGGATGAAATTTCAAGTGAGAAATATAAGGCCTTTTATTTTCCTTGGATCTTAGCAAGTTGAAGTCTGTTAAACCCTGTAAGGTCAGGAATTCCATAAAAGGGATTATAAGCAGAAACTTATTATTTAATTTGAACTTTTATATTCCCTTTTTTTCCAGTATTTTGTAATGTACCACACTAAAATTTCATAAGGTTATTCCATTCCTTTATGAGCATTTCTCTTCTAGTTACAGATTGTCTCTCAGACACTATCCTGTGTTATACCTTCAGCCAGGGGTGGATTATCTAATAGGCAAGGCAAGCACGGTGCTCACCTTGCCTACCAGGTCATCTGTAGTGAACAATTTCACATTTTTCACCATATCAAAGATTCTCTTCCTAGGTATGGCTAACATCTGTCTCTTTTCCAACCCCACAGCACCTTCCTACAGAATCAAAGCCTCTTTTTAAATTTACATTCCCTGACAGGGGCAGATGACCTAGTAAGCAAGGTAAGCACAGGCTTACTTGTGCTTATTTACTAATCTGTAGTGAACAATTTCACATGAGTTTCAGCACATCAAAGATGATCTGATGCTTACCTTGCCTGTTGGATGATTTGCCCCGGCCTCCAGCCATGAGAACTGATCAGTAGTCCAAAACTTTGTATGATCATCATTTTCTTTTAATGATTATGATTTAGTGACTTTTCCTTGACAGTCTCTGAACAAAGTATATTTAAGCAGTTGACTGATTCACTCTGGATGGAAAGCTGAGGGGTCTGAAGTCCAGCCCCTAACCACCTTTATCCTGTCTCTGACTTCATGGGACTTTCTAACAGCCTAAATCCTGGCAAGCCAGTCTCCAGGGTACTTGTACTTACTTACCAGAACATTAAAAATGAGTCCAGTCTTAGAGAACTTTATATCTTTTTTTTCCCCACCCTTTCCTTAAAAAACCATTTCTATCAGAAAATTCTAATCAGCCAAGGCAGAAAACAATTGGAAAAGGCAAGTGCTTATAGGGAAAGACAGGGTGGGAAGGTTATTTTCATCCTCCCTCCCAGGAAAGAAAGAAAATACCAACTGACGAGAAGTGTTTCCCCAAATTGCTAAACTAAACTTCTGCATTAACCCAAAGCTCAGAGCTGCAATAAAATTAATTATTCCTCTTGTCTTGAGCCACAGCTGGAGATTAGCAGATGACACTGTTAGTTTAAAACGCTCACGGAGAATGAGCTCTCTTGGATAGAACAGCATCAGCACCCATGGTGGTTCCTGCTTCCACCTCCACTGCCAGCAGTCGCACCCCCAGATGACTCACCTGATCGGGGTCTGAGTCACCGGCTACTGTCTGGGTCTCCATGGACTTGTGTCCTTTATTTTCAACACGAGTTCCAACATGAGGGACCTTTGATCATTTAGTATCTTTTTTTTTACACACTATCAGAATAGACCTTTGGGCTTTTCTTTTCTTTCTTTCTTTCTTGACTTTTCTTTATTCTCTCTGAGGTATGAGGGAGAATGAGAGGTTATAGTCTGGGAAAAAGTTGTTTTTGTTAGGGGGGTAGCAGGGTGGGGGGGCATAAGGAGTAAAATAAAATCCCCTGATTCATGGGTCTTGAGTCAAGTGTGGGTGGAAAACAAAAAACGTTCCTCTTGGGGAAATAGAATAGATATCAGGGCTTTGGTTTTGTTTCAGGAATCTGACATTTCTCATTTTATCGTTGTTGCCTATGAAAATGGGTATTTTAAAGGTTGCTAATTAACATCAGGTATTCACATTTTAGCTGAATGGTTGAGTGTTAAAATCAATTTATCAATATAAGACTGATTCCAAACATCACTGTCATAGAATGAACTTCCAGGATTTAAGTCTGAAAATGTATCAGAATTTTAAACTATTGTCATAATGTCAATATTTAACATTTTAGCAGCCAGATTTTGAAAGCCTGACATTAGACTACAAGAAGAAAACCTTAACCATTAGCTGCAGTGAATATTCAGATATTAGCAGTAACTCTGGACGACATGGCTTGTTTGTGTCTCTGAGGTCATTTTGCTGACTAGCTGTGTTGGGATCACACATCCCCCGGGACTGGTGACCATGCGCACAGGTCCAGGGATGCCAGGAATGATGCTGACGTAGGCATTTGCCTGCTCAGCCTCCCGAGGCCAAAGCTGAATTGCAGATTTTGGCTGAAATTAAAGGCTGAAGCTGAATGTTGGTGCATTTACAATTATTCCCCATCCCAGGAATGATTGTCCTCTCATCCTAAGACTATGAAATATACATCTTTCTAATCATGTTTTTGGGGCCCTGGTGGTGCAGTAGTTAAGAGCTAAGGCTGCTAACCAAAAGGTCAGCAGTTCGAATCCACCAACCACTCCTTGGAAACTCTAGGGGGTAGTTCTACTCTGTCCTATAGGGTCACTATGAGTCGGAATCGACTTGACAGCAACGGCAACAGGTGATCATGCTTTTAAACAGCTTTGTTTATCAACACCCTGCTTTCCACTAAAGTTAATTTTTCCTTTCTTATGGTTAGTTATTCTCACTGTTCTATACCCTTATGAATTTACCTTTTTCCATTTGTTACTTTATTTGTTGCATTTGCTTTAGTAGGAAATCTGAAATGCATGAACTACACATACACATACACTCATATAATTTTAAACTTACTTTCTCTTGGGAAAAAGTGGCCTGGTGCTCCTCAGAAGTGAGAAATCTTGTTAATGTCCCTGTGCTAATAGAGCTCTGGAGGTTAAGCGTAGATGATGGCTCTGAAGCCAAAATACTGAGTTAAAGCACTCAAAGCAGCTCTCACGCGGGTGCCTGTGTGGCTCCATTGTTTTGTGCCATTTCCTCTATGTATTATTTTATTTTAGAGTTTCTCAAATCTCGAGCAGTTAGAAGCTTTATTCCTTCATGTTGCTGTGCTTTCCAAGGAACTTACAATTAAGTTCTTCTTTCCTCCCACCCTCTCTCAAGTGACTTATTACTTACGTACCCAGTTTAAGTGGTGCTGGGCCTATTCCACGCAGAGGGTGCGTGCTAATGCCCTGAGGCTGAAAAGGAAGGAGCTTTCCAGAAAGTCAAAGAAGGCAATGTGGTTGGCACTCAGTGAGGGCATGAGATAAGGTTGGAAGGAATTATGTGGAAGCACATCCTGAAGGTGAGACCAGTTGGCTCACCCATCATAAGAAATACAATTTACATTGCTACCCGGTGCATATGCATGTGAAAGCTCCTGCTCCAACAGTGGAAACCTGACTTTCCCCATATTTTTAATATATTATTTGATCTGTCTTCCTGTGTGTTCCAAGCTCCCGTCCCCCTCCTCTGCACAGCCGCCCTCTTCGTTCACTTGAGCTCTGCCTCCCCTCGCCCCTCCGCAGAGCTGATCCTGTTCTGCTCCACCAAAACAAATGACTGTTAGGGCTGAGTTGTTCAGGAAGGAAAGGGGGAAGATCTCTAGCTTCTCTTTTTTTAACCCCCTAAGCAGAACATTTTTGAATAGAGATGAATTAAGAATGGTAAGGCTCTTGGTACAGAGACTGTTCTCCGTGAATATTTCTCCCTTCAATTTAAAAGAATCATAAACCTCAATGGAGAAATTAAACTTCAGTCAGTTAACAGTGTGATCCTTGAAGCTCTAGATAAACACTCAGAGAAACAAATACCTTTTCCAAGATTTAAGAATAACGGATGTGTATTACCATGTGTGTGAGAGAGAGAGAGATTAAATGGATGAGAAATGAAAGAATAGTTTCCGCTGTGGAGATGGTCACTGAAGGGAATGTCTCTTCCCCTGCTTGTGGCTACAGTTTAGATGAAATCAGCCAAAGGAACTCATTAGTCCCCACCCCAGCAGGACTCTGAGGGCCTGGCTGTGAATGAAGTTCATGGTGGGAGGAGAGGTATTGCATCACTCCCCCTTGGGCTGGCTCAGATCCTGTCCTCAGGGACCCACCTGCAGTGGAAGAAAAGCTCACAGAGGCTTCCTTCAATTAAATGTTTCTAGGCAGGTGGGGCTTCAGGTAGTTGTCATTTCAGGAGCCTGAGCAGAAAGTCAGGGTCTTTTACCCTCTGGAGGCAGAAAAGCATTTGCCTCTGACGTATTTGATTTTTCTAGTCGTTTAAAAGCCCCTTGTCAGGTGAGAAGATTGCTGAGAAGATGAGGAAAGGTATTCCTTCTCCAGATTTTTTTTTTTTTTCTTTAAAGGGGAAGGATTTGTTTAGTTGCTTAATTTAGCTCTCTAAAGATACTAAGTCCAATAGGGAAGGTTAATGTTGGCTGATTGGTCTCCTGCAATGTGGTGTGTGTGAACACGAGAGAACTGACAGAAAGAGCCCCTGAGCCAGAGCAAATACTTACCTCAGTCTAGTCGTTGCTGTCCTTGCCCTGGATGACTGAATTCTAACTTCTCCTTTGAGGCTTACAGTTCTTTTAAATTGAAGGGATATGTATCCAGGGAGAACAGTCTCTTTTGGTCGGTCAG